GATTGGCCAGCAGCTCCAAGAATCAGGAATTTCATCAGTAGGAAACTAAGAACTTTACTGGGATGAACTACTAAAAAAAATCCTTGTAAACATCAAATAGTGGGTCAGAAACACGAAGAATTAACTAATATTAGATGTATAGAAGTAGAGGGAAAAGGCAAATATGGAATACAATGGTTTTCATCTAAGTTTCCAGTTCAGATCCAGCTCAAGTTGGTGGAAAATTAAATTAATTATTAACAGACAACTGCTTAGTAATCTACATGAGCAAGCAGTTATGAGCACAAGTAAGGACAGGAACAGGTTTATTAAGAAAAACAGACGCTTGAAAATGTAGCACACTTCATAAGTTTCTATATCTGAGTCTTCTGAGTTGTGAGATGGTCATAACCATACAGCAGTTTCAAGCTGTGTCATCTGGTAGAAACTCTTATTAGTAGACAGGCACTTCAGAAAAAAACCCCAAATCCTGTCCCATGGATGCACCACACAGGCCCCTTTCCATGACATATACCCCTCCCTCCCCGTGCTGCATGGACATGGCATACAGCCCCACCTGTGCCACCCAGATATGCTACATGTCACACAGCACCCCCCCACCCCGCTTCATTGTGCCACACCCCTCCCTTGTACCATGCAGACACACTGCAACATGCTGCTGCCCTCCCCCAGTGTGGGGTGTAGCTCCCACTATACCATATAGGCATGGATGTTGCACAAGGTCCCCAGGTCCTCTGAACCATCTAGCCATGGCCTTCCTCAGTCCTGTGAGCCAGGCTGTTCCACTCTGCCCAGGGGCAGGTGGCAGAAGCTCAGGGAGGGAGAGGAAACCTGGAGATTCCTGTGGCAAAGCAAAGAGTGGGGCACAGAGCCTGTGACCAGGAGCCTGGGGGCTATCATTTTAACCTCTCAGGGGCTGCATGTAGCCTACAGGCCACCAGCTACACAGCCCTGTTCTAAATTGATCTGAAACATTTGTTTTACATTTTCTACATTAATCCACTTACATCTGATAATAAAACTCATTGCTTTCTGAACGATAGATATATTTAATGAATAAGCACAAAAAACATCTAGACAGAGTTTAGGTGTTCAACATCTTCATCAGTGACTTGGATGAGGGGGTAAAAAGCACCTTATTCAAATTTCTTGACGACACTAAATTGTGGGGGGATGTGGGCATGCTAGAAGGGAGGAATAGGCTGCAATTGGACCTAGACAGGTTACAGGGGTGGGCAGATGAGAACAGGATGGGTTTCAACACTGACAAGCGCAAGGTACTGCACCTGGGGGGGAAGAACCAGCAGCATACCTACAGGCTGGGGAACTCCCTTCTTGTCAGTGCAGAGGCAGAAAAGGATCTTGGAGTCATTCTTGATGCCAAAATGAACATGGGCCGACATTGTGGGGACGCGGTCAGGAAGGCCAACCATACCTTGTCATGCATCCACAGATGCAGCTAAAGCAAGTCCAAGGAGGAACTGGATGCGTTTAAGTCGGCAGGCCCGGATGAGCTCCATCCGAGGGTACTGAAGGCACTGGCTGACGTCACTGCACAGCC